GCAGCCCACTGCAGCCCCACTGCAGTCTACACCGTCGCTGGCGACTCATGGCTGCTCAGCTCCAGGTCGAGCTGTTGTTCACCATCTTAGCTGTAGAGGGCGCAGTGTCACTAGCCCATGCGGGATCCGAACCGGCGGCCCTGCTGCTCAGAGCTGTCGCTCCCAAGCCAACTCTTAACCAACGAGCCACTTGGCGGGACCCGTGTAGTTGTTTTAAAACATCTGCATATTCTTTGACACATCTCCCACCATTTCTTGAGTACAGACTGTCCTTCATGACTTTATTCTAGTGAAGAAAATGTGGCAGAAGTTATGCTTTTTGACTTATGAGTGTAGGTCGTAAAAGGCCATGGGGCTCTGCCTGACTCTCTCAGGATGCCTCCATGCTCTGAGAAAACCAAGCGCTTACAAGGAAAGGCCACTTGTAGGCATTCCAGCCACAGCCTCAGCTAAGGTCTGAACCCACAGCCAGTATCAACCACTAAACATGCAAGCGAGTCTTTGAAGCTTGAAACTGCCCCAGCTAATGCTGAGTGGAGTAGGCACAAGCTGTCCCTGCCCAAACGGTAGATTCTTGAACAAAATAAATATTGTAGTTGTTTTAAGTCACTAAGTTTTGGGATGTTTTGTTACACAACAACACATAACTAGAACCCCATGAGATGGAAAAATCATAACTTAGTGGTGCCTGGGTCTCAGGTCCCACTTGGGGATTTTTCCTAAATATCTTCCATACTTCCATAATACTCACCCATATACTTATTCAATAAATGTTTATCGAATGCCCACAAAGTATCTGGCAGTGTTCTGGATGTGGAAAATAGAGAGATGATGAGACTCTTAAAGTTACAAGTCTAGTGTCATAAATGAGTGACTTTAAGTCAATCAACAAGCGCATGCTCGTGCCTTGTATTTACTTATGACTTGGGTGTCATTCATGTCTGACAACATTTTAGCCTGCTGCTTGGAATGTGTATACTGTTCACAGATGGTATATACGGTTCACAGAGAAAGCTGAACCACTCATCTCTAATTACATTTCCATCTTTAGAAGGATGCTCTGAAAAATGTAGAGCTATTAGGAGGGACCTAAGGGATTCTCTATGACTGTCAACCTGGAGGTGGGGGATCCTTTGGAGATTGCCATGGGACTCCAACCCTCAGGCCTGTTCAGTTTGACATATTTTTCCCCAGGGACTTGAATAGGGATGTAGATAGAATGCTGACAATAATAGGATGCAAGTCTGTAAACGCCAAAGCAAGCTGGATTCAGTGGAGAAATGGACAAAATATGATGAGATGAATCTGCTATGGACAGATACGGAGCCTTCTTGGCCTGGCCATAAACCCTACAAGGACAGGGAGACATGATTACTGTGCTCAAGTGGCAGTGAGATCTGTGGCTCTGTGATTAGGAAGAAAGAGTTCCGTCCAGATTTCCTTTGACTCTAAGGAAGACATTCACTCTTGCTTCAGGGCCTTTGCCCTTGCTGAGATGCTCACGTGAGATGCCCGGCTTAGTCTAGATATTCACACTGTGCACCTTTTTATTTCATTTAGAAAGCTGCCTAAGTCTCCTCTCCTCAGAGAACCCTCCTTGGCCACCCAAGAAGACCAGCTCTGTCTCATTTACCACTGTATCCCCAGCACCAAAGGCAATGCCTGAAATACTGAAATATTGATTGAGCAGTAAGTGCTCAATCAATATTGTTTGAACAGAGGCATAAAATTCCTAATCAAAATGGAATGAGCTCCTTTGGGGTGGGTGTTGAGTTCCCTGTCATTGGAGACATTCAATGAGAAGTGGATAGCCAAGTACGTGGATGGCTATAGAGATGGTTCAGGCCGTGGGCTCCAGAGTAGGCTCACAAGTGAACGAAGCTGCCTCTCCCTAGATGACTTCCCTGGTCCTTCTCTTGCTGTCATTCCAGTTGTGAAACAGACTCCTTTTGTGTGCCAGTTTTGCCAGCCTGAAAATAGCTGTGTGACTCTCACATAAAAGAGCTTCGGGAAGCAAAGAAATCAGGATGTGACCTCTGCATTTTCCATGCCATCAAAATGTGATTTCTCTTTGTAGGTCATGGAGTTTAAGGACTCATCTAAGGTAAAATTGGTAAGAAAGTAAAGCGGGCCTTTGAGGTTCAGTGTCAGTAATGATTGTTCTGCTTTGTAGATGTGTGGATGAACCCCTAAATAAACCTTGGCGGTTTCTTAGGTTGCCCACGTGGCTAATAGCCACATGTACATGAAGATATTATTGTTTCAGTTTTCTCCTCTGGTGCTAGAATAGCAATAATGATGACAACTAACATTATTGAGCAGTTCCTGTGTTCCAGACCCTGGGTTATGGACTTTATACGTTATTATCTCACTTCATCCTCTCCAAAATAGTGTAAAATGGTGCTATTTTTTATCATGTCTGATTTATAGCATAGGATCTGAGGCTTGGTTAAGGTCACACAGATGGTAATTGGCACTGCTGGAACTTGAATCCAGGTCTGGCTGATTCAAAACCCTGAGCTCCTAATCATTGCACCATCCTTGCTGAGATCTTGCTTCAGGGTTTGAGAACTGGCAGCCTGGATTCAGCTGGCATTATGTGTTTTCTTTGGCCACATGAAATTTAACAAAAAACTTCAGCCAATACACAAACATTGGAAGATTTCCAAATCAAAGATCTAGCAACACTGGGTCTGTATTTTTTCATGGCAACACCGTGATTAGCAGCCGCCCCCTTGAAATGGGGTATGTCTTCTTCACGTTACTGGATTCTCCACCACCCCCTAGTGTCTTCCCAGCATGGAGACTAGTGTCAGTTGCCATGTACTGATGTTTATTTACACTAGAGAAATATTTCTTGTCCCCAGGTCTCTATCTGTGGAGGTCAAGATGGCCCCCAATGACCCCTGCCTCTTGTTCCCACCCATGTGTAGTCACCCCCTCTATTGTACCAGGGATGTCTGTGTGACCAGTGGCATATGGCAGAGGAAATAGTATGTCATTTCTGAGATTAAGTTATGAAAGACTAATTTTCATTTTGGTGCCTGGCTTCATCTCTCTCTTAGATCTCTTGTTCTGGGGGATACCAGCTGCCATGTGAACAGTTCTACAGAGAGGCCCACGTGGTGAGGAGGTCAAGTCTTTGGCCAACAGCCAGTGAGGAGCCGGGGCTTGTCAACAGGTGAGCTCAGCAGTGGAGCCTCTACCCCATTTGAGTCTTCAGATGGCTGCAGCTCTGGCTGACAGTTCCACTGCAACCTCCTGAGAGACCATGAGCCAGAACCCCCTAGCTAAGCCATTCTCAGAAACGGTGAGATAATAAATATTTGTTGTTTTATGTTGCTAAGGTTTGGAGTCATTTTTTGCTCAACAGTAGATAAACAAATTCACTATCAAATGTGGGGAGAATGGATTGATCAAGGGTGCCGTATGATTCCAAAAAAATTAAGAAAGAGGATCTTCATTTGTGGAAGCAAAGACTATTTATATCATTCTGAAACTTGCCGTAGTAAGAGCTATGACTGGCATATGGAAAAGATGAGTAATGACAATCTTAATGAACCAGGCCTGTTTTACTTCTTCACATTGCCTACCTGGCCCTTTTAGGTCTGAGTTTTCCAAGCTTGCTATAAAGTAGTGGTTTTCAAATTGTTCCTGACCTTGATGACCACCCTCCCACCCCTGCCCTTTCCCCCGGAAGAATTGCATTAAAAATACATTTCACATTGTGACCTAGTGCTCACATGAACATACACAAATGAAACAAAAGTTTCACCAGAACAATAACCTCTTCTGTGAGTGATGCACTCTAACCTTCTTTGTTCTATTCTATTCCTTATCATTTTTTTTTTTAAGATTTTATTGGGGAATTGGGGGAGGGAACAGCATTGGGGAATTGGGGAAGGGGAACAGACAAGTTGCTGTCCTTTGGTTCTTCAGTCTAGTTGTGGAGGATGTCACTTCACTGGCCCATGTTGGTATTGTGATTATTGCACTCTTCCCGGCTGAGGCAGATCAGTCACTGGCCATTGGATGGCCGCTCACACCAGCTCTTGGCCGCTCACGCTGGCTGCCGGCTGCTCATGGTAGATGTGTGGATGAACCCCTAAATAAATCTTGGCAGTTGCTTAGGTTGCCCACGTGGCTAACAGCCACATGTAAGAATAATGGGGATCAACTGTATTTTCATGAAAATGTGAATTCAATTAATACAAAATCATGTTAAAATAAATTTCATGTTTTGAGAAAGATATTTTCTTTTAAAATAGTAACATTAGTATTCTAAAGCAAAATAAAAATATTAGTGAATTTCAAAATTGTAAACCAAAATTATTTAAAAACAAAATATTTAAACCTTTTGTAGATGTGATTAAATTCAATTAATTATTTTAGAAAAATTAAACTCTTTGCAGTTCTAGCATTCAATGCCTATCTCATGGCCAATATAAATAATCTGCATTTTGCTTCATATGTGTTATGTTTAGACTGGCATGCACAAATTAAAGAATAATATGAGCTATTTATGACTGCAAAATAGGCCTTAGCTGTCTTATGCAACTGTTGGGAATACTGTGCTAATCTGTAAGTAATTCCTGTAGCTATGGAATTCCTGTGCTAATTTGTGGAGGTACAGACTGTGACAGAAAAAGGAGCAAGAACACAGGCACCTGGTACTACTGGGGATCCTTGTTATGTAAGAATCTATGAGAGGAAAGGGTTGAGTGACAGATGTGCTTAGGTGAGTGCTCTGTCCCTCCAACCACCCCTAAACACAGAAGCATATCATCGGTGGTGCTGGCGGCGGCACAGCCCACAGACCTCTCGTGCATTGAGTTGCAGTCACCCATTGCTTCCAGGATATGAAGCAGAGGGAAGCCTGTGCCAAGGGCCTGCATGGTGTTGTATATCGAGGGAGGTCCTCTAAAGTGCCAGTCTCTCTTGCCTGGGTCTGTGGAACAGACCACTATAAACAATGCTGCAAATGAATTAAAACAAACGAACAAAACCTGTGCAAGTGTCTGTGTCGTGTATGTTCTCACTGTTTCTTTATTTTTGTAGTTTTCACCAATTTTCATTCATTTCTGACTTCTTTTAATTTGCATAAAATTAAATGGCTCCTGCATACTATATTTTTTTATCCTTTTTCTTAAAGAATATGCAAAATTGCCATGTTATTTTTAGTTAATTTGCTCATTTCAGAATTCATATTCTTTTTTTGTCTCTTTTATGCAATGTGTTGCTCTTTGGCTTGCAGCCAAATTTCTATGCTTCCCTTCAGTTAAGCCTTATGAAAAGACAATCACCAGCTCACTGGGGAGGGCATATTAATTTACAACAGCCTAGTAGAAAAGGCTTTTACTTACTATCGTTGCATCTCCAGGAAGGAGTATGGTAGTAACTGTGCTCTCAGGCAAAGCCCCCTTTTCTAATGAAAGTGTGGACATATTTATGAAGCACCTCGGAGAGCTCATGGGGTCAGGGGACCTGGGACCACATGCTGGTACCATTACCTACCAGCCCTGAGTCCCCAGCAGTCACTTCACATCTCTGAACTTCAATTTCCTCATCTAAGACATGGGGATAATAATTGAGCTGTCACGAGGATCAGTGAGACAAGCATGTGAAAGCATTTTGTAGATGAGATGTATTATGTGAGGGGAGCCATTCAACTACTTGGGTTTATTTTTATAATTTCCCTACACTATGCTAATACTCCACTGTAGTATTTTCTAAGCTAGTCTCAGTATTGTTCTATTGTTATCATCTCAGGCCACCCAAAAAATGCTCCCAAGATTAATGTTAATATTTTTCTAAAGAGGTTTCTGGAAATGTTGAAGGACAGGGTCATTTTGAAGGTGGTGATAATGGGTGGAGGAAAATGTCTGAGTCCTGAAATTAAGATCAGATAATATCTGGAATTGATTGGAAAAGGTTTGCCAGGAAGTTGGGGGAAGCTTCCAGATACAGAAGTGGCAGGTATGAGGCCTCGCCCACAGTATTATTAGTCAGCTTGAGCAAAATACCACAAGCTGGGTGGCTTAAACAACAGAAATTTATTTTTCACAGCTCTGGAGGCTAGAACTCCAAAATCAAGGTGTCAGCAGGCTTGGTTTCTTCGGAGGCCTCTCTCCTTGGCTTGCAGATGGCTGCCTTTTTGCTGTGTCCTCACGTGGTTGTCCTGTGCACGCACATCCCTGCTGTCTCTCTGTGTCCAAACCTCCTCCTCTTATAAGGACAGCAGTCAGTCTGGAGCAGGGATGGGCAAACTTTTGAAACGGAAATGCCACCAGGGGTCAGCAAACTGCGGCTCACGAACCACATGCGTCTCTTTGGGTATGTACATGTGGCTCTGAAGTAAAACTGAAAATGAAAATAAAACTATCATCGTTTCATTTATAAATTTTTTTTTTAAAGATTTTTATTAGGGAATTGGGGGGATGGGAACAGTGCTGGGGAATTGGGGAAAGGGGAACAGACAAGTTGCTGTC